AACCCTGTAGCGCTAGCGCTTCGCGTTCTTTCTATTCCATTCCGGGGCTAATACTAATAAAGACAAAAGGTGAAGTAGTCGTCGTCTGACCAATCGGCAGACCGCCCGTGCCCGTCCATTTTTTCTCGCCCTAAATGGAATGGCTCTCTTAGTTACGCTGCGCCCCGACCCGAGTCCCCCACGTCCGCTTTTATCCGCTCGAAACCCAATAAGTTGGCTTTGCCAACACAACATTAGGGCCGTCTCCTTCATTCTATGCTGACCCCCGGCCCGGGCTGGCTTTTTGGGAAGCCCGTTCCCACCGCGCTCACGGCCCGGCTGGCCTGCCAGCGGTAGTGGGAATTCTCCCGTTCCCTGGTAAAAGACTTGGTTGGATGCGGGATCTACTCCACGAGGAGCGGTACGGACGTAGATGATATCATCACGACCCCTCTTTTCGTACCGCTAGGGATGCTTAACGCCACTTCGCCAACTGGCGTTACCTGCGCTTTCGTGTCTCTCAGTGTGGTCAGCACTGGGTGTTTCCGAGCAGCGAGGCTTACACCCATTCGCATTAGTTCATCCAAAGTTCCTTACCCTTATGCACGAATTATTGAAGAAGCCATCTTCCTATCAAGGTGAAGGAGTCAACTGAGCATCTCAGCGGCGGGATTGAATACCCGGATCAAATCAGAGTTCACGCCGCCCGCCCTGAACAAATAGGAGGCGTGGGCCACTGGTCGCACATAAGCCGCCGGGTCGCACGACAGAAGAACACCCAACATAGAGATGCACACTCCTCCATGTGAAATATTCATCTTCATGTTCACTTTTTGGTAGTAGTCGTGACCAACAGCCATCAGCTGTCGGCTCGTTGGTAAGGTGAGAGCTTCAGGCCCGATTTCTGGTGGCGCCAGAGTCAAGTCTAAATAAACATCATCCCCATTTTCATCACCTTGCTCTTCTGTTAAGGGTGTCTCCTCTTCCCCAATCACCAGCCGGGTCAATTCTTCGGGAGACCAGCTGGATGGCAAGCCCCCCCCCTCCTATTTCCTCTATCTTCTCTTTAAAGAAACGAATCATTCTATTTTTATTCAAGTTGTCACTCAGCTCTTGTGGAGAAGAGGAAGCCAGCTCATTTCGGACCCCAGTGGACGCCTCAGAAGCGGAACTAGATGGAGAAATGGAAATATCCAACCAATCGCTGGGCGAAAAAACGAGTTGGATGTGTTGGATTGCCATATTGATAAATGCAAAGCTTTCGTTTCATGGTCATGGCAACTTATTCTTTTTTAGGGGGATCTACTTTATTTTTTTAGTAAGTAAGGCATGTGGGCTTCCCACTTATAGCAGGTATGCAACCAACCCTGCTTCCGCCTCTTGTCAGTTTTTGCCCTATATGTTATATATGAGATTGAAAAAGTACTTCTAAAAAGAATCATTTCATTTCATATGTGATAAGGATTTGTTCCGACTTTGTCTCGGAAACAAAGATATGGGAAAAAAAGGCTATGCCGGTACTGATGCTACCACTGGTGCTTTGCCTCCTCGGTACCCCGGATAAGCTACTGAAGCCGCTACTCGTGCTAGTTCATCCATAATGAAAGCACGAGTGCTAAAGAATCTGCCGCTAGCTCAACTAATGATGCTATAGGTTACAGATTGAGTACGATATGCCGCTATCCCTATCTAGTCTAGTAAGGGCTTTGAAGCCAGCTTCGAAAACGGGTTCCAAACCTGAGCAGAGTCTATTCTAACAAAGATGGGATCAAGTAAGGACGCTGATTCACAAAAGCCAGGATGATTTCCAGCTCCATTCCCTCCTTCACTTCAGCTTCAGGTCGACAAAGGAGGATTTCATTGCTTGATCATTCGCTACCTGCTCTTTTCTCTGGTTTCACCAAATAGAGTAGGTTTCCCAGTCAAAATATGAGCTCACTAGGTGCCCTTCTGATCTTTTATTTACCAAACTGTATACCTTGAGGCACCTTCGTTTTCATCCGTGGGGGTGGGATCAATTTATTTTTATCGTAGTTGTGCTGTCCAGCGCTGAGACACTTCGCCCTTCCAAATCAAAGGCGACTGCTAGCGAGCAGGAGGACGAAATGAGGGGGCCATCAGAGAAATAAGTCCCACCGAGATTGGCAGGGACTAAAGAGAATCCCATTTCTCCAAAGTCAATAAATAGAATAAGAAAGTCTGCCCAAGGCATGTACCAAATATTTCACATACCCCCACCAGGTCTCTGGCTCCGCAAAGAAACTAGCTAAAACAGAGCTCGCATGAATTGCTCCTAACATAGGGGATTGCCTCATCCGCACCGCCAGCAAGCCTTTCTACAGCGAATATTCAAGGAGAACGTTTATTTAAAAGGAGTATTCGGTCCAGCGATTGTAAGGAATCGAAAGCTAAGCGAAGACCATCTATCCCTACCCCCTAAGCCACTGTTGTTAAAAAACCAATGCAAAAGATAAAAATAAATGAATAAGGCAGAACGAGAATAAGCCAAATAGTCCCTCATTGAACCAACTTGAATCTTCACTTCTATTTAGAACGCAAAAGCCCATCTTTTTATTTATATGTCTAAGGAATTATGGATTTTTCGATTGCTCCTGATAAATGGGTCGTAGCATTGAATGTACTCTCGAGTGATCGAATGACTCTCTATGACACAATTACTTACCTATGGATGGAGCGATCCCCTCGTAACCAGGATTATATCACGATCGATTGAACATCTAGTGAACGCTTTAGTCTTGTCTCATCCGGATTTATTTACTCCATAACTAGCTTACTGAGCGAATCCGAATTCATTTCGAGACGTGGAGACTGTTCAAACTGAGTATGTTGGAATCTATCAAGGTTTTTGGCTCGCAATAAAGCTAGGGTCCTGATCGAGCAACTAGTAGTCCTATCTATCCACCTCTCCAGACACAATATCTTGAGTACCTATGATGGTGACCACATCTGCTGGCATGTGATGTTTGGACATAGAATCGAGTCCTTGTGAATGGGCAGAGCCAGGTGCTCTTATTTTACGACGGTAGGGACGATTGCTTCCATTACTGACCAGAAAGACACCAAATTCTCCTTTAGGTGCTTCAACTGCGGTATAGGTAGAAGAAGCTGGTACGGAAAAACCTTCTGTATAAAGTTCGAAATGGTGAATTGAGGTAGAGTAGACTGATGATCCTGTAGTCATTTGGCCGGGAAAGAAAAAGCTTGCATCTGCTTCCCCTATTATATAACCGGTCCCATCTCTCTCCAAACCTAACGTGGTAGTTTCCCATCATAGGGCTTTCTATCTATAGATTAAGCCATTACCAAGGAGCTAATTCGTTCAGAACTCAGTTTACTGCTTCTATAGATAAGGCGGAGCGTCCTTGGCTCAGCATTATAGCACGCACATAGGGCTTCGGCGCTAGCTCAATCCGTTGCTTGTTCGCTTTCTCAGTAGCAAAAGCGCTTCTCTTTGCCCCATTTCTAAATAGTTTCTTTAGACAAGAAATATATGATTTTTTTATTGCTCCCCGCTTCCTCATCTGTGCTCATCAAGCCAACTTTGCTCTTTGGGGGGTGAAACAGCGGTTGAAGCGGACATTTCGAAATGACAGCATCGAATATATATGTATATATATACACGGTTACGGTTATCTCGGACTGCGTTCTGGAAAAAGCATCCTACTTGTGGGGCACTGTGTACTTACAGCCTATACGATAAGCAAGTGAATGGGGCCGGGTTCATCAAACCATTTTTCGCCCTAAATAGGGGTAATTTGTTCGCACCTGACTGTGATAGCCCTCTCGATACCTTATTGTAGCTTTGTAACTAGTGCCGTCGCTAGAGCGTTTTCCCAGTGCGCGGAGCCCCAACGAGGAAGGTGTTAGTGGTTTATCATTGGGTCAATAATGCTAATCCCTCTTTTTGTGCTACTCCTAGGGCGGGAAGAAGATAAGAAAACGCCAAGTGTTCTCTTGCTTTCCCAACCTGTTGTTTCTAAAGACTGCCCTCTCTCGGCTGGATCTTGGTCCAGCCTACTATGAGAATCCCGTATCCAGCAACCCAACCTATACAAAGGGCATCAAAGCCCCTTTACTAGGTTGGAGCTATAAAGCTTACCGCCCCGTGGGTTATTATTATGAATAAGGGAAAGGGCTTTTTCAGCTGGTGCGCAGGAGCGCACTTCCGTTTTCCCTTTACTAGTAGGGGGTCCCGTGGTTCCTATGCCGCCGCGTTTCCCGGTCCTTTTCTTTTAGTGCTTCGACCCGAAGCGATAGCTTCTAGCTAGTTCAGTGGATAAGATGGCTGCGCTCCAGCTCACTCAAGAATGGGACGGCAGTGGTCCGCCGGCAAGCTCGTTCTGATCTTGGGCGCAGTACATTGGAATCCTGAAGCACCACCACGAACGCTACCGCGCGTCCGCCTGCGGTGCGGTAAGGCACCACCCTGTTGTGCCAGCAGCCAATTCCGGCGTGTCAGCTTAGTTATCCTCATCAAGCCACTTACTTGATGTCTAGCTTCCCAACTGGTAGACGGTTCCTTTTCCCCCAGATCGATGAAGAAGGGAGACGTCAGTTTATTATTCCGAAGAACCGGAAGCGAAACGCTATGCCGGGGCGGGGGGGACGGGAAAAGAAACGGCTCCGAAGAAATAAATTGGGGTTCCCAATGCTTCTCCACGCTTAACGAGATGCGCCAACCTCGGGATGCTTTACTCCTAACCCCACAAGGTTCCGAGACGGAGCTTAACCTGAGTCTCGGTTAAGAACGGCGATGATCTACGTTTCACACGGCGCACGATTCCATGGATAGTTTCATTCGAGATCGTGATGGAGGACACAGCTTACGATCATCGGATTTGATCATGCCACTAGGCATTTGATTAAGACATTGCACAATGATCCGAACACTTTGTCGCATCTCTTCGATACGAATACAGTAACGATCATAGCGATCTCCTCTGGTACCTACTGGTACGTCAGGATCCAATTGGTCATGAACATCGTAAGGTGCTGCTTTTCGCAAATCCCAGCATACCCCTGAACCTCTTAACATTACACCACTGAATCCCCAATCCTTTGCTTGCTGTGCAGTGACAGTACCAATATCCACTAATCGTTGTTTCCAGATACGGTTGCCGGTTGACATCTCTTCTAATTCGTCGATACGAGAAGCAAATTGTTGTGTGAAGGAATCAATATCTCTACATAAGCCAAGAGGAAGATCTTGTGCCACTCCACCTGGTCGTATGAAACTGGCATGCATCCTGGCTCCCGAGACTCTTTCATAGAATTCCAACAATTTCTCCCGCTCCTCAAAAGCCCACAGGAACGGAGTTGATGCTCCCACATCCATAGCATGAGTAGTTAAAGCAAGTGAATGATTTGAAATTCGAGTTATTTCACGGAATAACACTCGTATATATTGAGCTCGTAATGGTACCTCGCAATTCAAAAGTCTCTCTACGGCTGAAGAATGAGCGTGTTCTTGGGCCATCATAGAAACATAGATAGGGTCGACGACGGAACGAACAACGAAACTTTACGACAGCTTTTTCGTACACGTTCACTTGCATCACATACACAAGTGCTCTCTGAACCGTGCAATAAGGTCACCCATAACACGGCTCTCCCACTTGAGTTATCTTAGCCCCAGGCCATGCTATTCAATAATATAGGAAAAAAGGGTAACAACTAGTATTGAAAGCTGGTCGCCTTTGGAATATGAGTAGGGCTCCGGACGTGGCGCGTTCGTGGAGGCAAACCGAATAAAGAGCAAAAGGAAGGTTGGGTGCTTGTGGGGCGAGGCCATCCGGCCTCGAATAGGAGGGGGCTTAGCTCTGGATCCTCCCTGCTTGCAGAAATGAATGGATCAGAAGGGGGCTTGGTTCTCTATTTCCGGGCCGGGCGGGAGGTGAAGGCCATAAGAGAAGATTGCCCTCCCGGTAAGGAAGAGGGGAAAAAGGTGCTGTCATCTATCTCGACCAGTTTCCCGAGGCCTTGGAAATCCAGACCGGCTCAGAGAATCACTTGCACTATTTGGCCCTTCGTTTCGCCAAAAATTCATCCTTTACGATTTCCCATTCCTTCCCTGCCGAGCCGCCTCTCTTCGCCATTCGATGCTTCCGCCTTCCCTTTCTATAACATACCCAGGCGCCCTCCTTTCCCATCACTAATAAAAAAAGAAATACCAATAAAAGGGTTGGTGTGGCTAAGTAAAGCTTCGTCTATGATTTCCAGGGGAGTTGACTTGACCCATTCCCCAGTCTCCCGCACTGCTAAAGTCAGTGTGCGACTCCGAATGAGGACCTCTTTCTCTTCTGCCCACTCTCCGTTCACACGGTTCTCAAAGCAGAGGAGGAAGGGTGGGCAGCAGGTACCACGAGCCCTCTGTCCCACACATCTATCCAGAAGCAAGTGTAGTTCACCGGTTCCACCGAATGCTCCTATCTCTCGGCAAAGATCGTTTGAGTGTGCAGTTATGCTTCGGATGCTTCGCCATAGAATAGATCGACCCAGTTCCCGTTCTTTTCCGGTGCACTCGCTTTATATCTCCGACACACAAGGAAGGACGCGGTGGGAAGGAAGCAGCCCTAGCCTCTGTCCGGCCGATCATTCCGCTGGCATCTCGCATTCACGCCCCCGTTTGACTGCCGCTCGGGGATGTAGTTGTAGATAGGTTAGTCTTAGTGGGTCGTTGGCTCCACTTGTTATCTCCTTCTACGACATGCTGTTGTCGTCGCCATATTCCATATGTCACTTAGTCATCTCTGCCTCGCTGCGGGTCAGCACCTCCGAAAGAAACGGAGGACTTCATTCAGTGACCCCGCGATCGCCCTCTGAACGATCAGAATAAGGTAAAGCTTGAAGATAAGTTTTGTACTCTATTAATTTCTCAGTCCCTCTAGTCGGGTGGGTGCTGGCCGGTTTTTCGACCAGATCCCCCTTAAAACCGTACGTGCGGGTCTCCCCGCATGCGGCTCACGCCATTCGAGGTGGCCCAGCCCAGCATTCATTCGCAAATCCTGTAGTGAAATTGAGACTGCTCAACCTCGGAAGCTAATTCGCGTGTAGGCAGCGCTGTCTGTCGTACCGTTGACTCTATCTATTCATTTAATTTGCTTTATTGCATTTCGCGAGCTCTTTTTCCAAGAATTTTCCACTCCCCGTCGAATGACCCGGCCTCCCCTGGCTCTTCCACCGTCCGGGCTCCCTTTCCTCCCTATGCTATGCTCCCCCGGCGCAGGCCTACCACGCTTCGCGCCTGCGGCGTTTTCGCCAGACGGTCTTTGCCAGTAGTGCCATCCTCCCCGCTGGCTGTATGGGCGGGTTGTCCCTCGCTGCTGCATTCTGTTAGGCTATGGATTACAGGAACAAATGTAGTTGAATGGAACAGCAGGCGGGTTACACGTTCCACTGTGCCGAGATGTGAGGTGCAGGTGGTGATGATCACCCCGGGGTATGCGTTAGCGCCCTTGACAGGCACTCCAGAACCCGCCAACGCTCGTGAAACCCCGGGTCCGGTCGGTCCTCCATTCATCCGACCGGGGTTATGGATAACGAGGCCACCTTCACAACCTTCTCCCTTCTGTCCCTATGCTGTAATAAGGTAAGGCGGTTCGCTTGAGTTGCTCAACCGCCCCTTAGCCCGGTGCTCATGACGCGCTACGGAACCTCCACCGTGCCGGGGGACCAAGCAGGGCATAGCTAGCGGCATAGGAGCCGACTCGGCATCAGCGGCTTCGTGCCGCACTGGAGTGATCCAATATGTGGTTCCGCACGTTCCACCACTTCTCCGTTCATTTCCAATACTGATCGTGAAACACCATGAGCAGCAGGATGTTGAGGTCCGAAATTCGAAGTGAAATTTTTGATTTGCCTGTTCCTAATCGTCATGGGAAAGAAAGGCAGAAATAAGAAAGATATTATTCCCTGAGAGCTTGTCCAATACCACCAGTACCATAAATGCATCTCCTTCGCCCGCGCGAGAGACTTCTATGCCAGCCGGGAATCACGGCTCTGTTATGAAAGAAAGCGGCAGACAGACTACCTGCCAAAAAAAAGGTAGTCTTTTATGATCGGCTTAAGGAGACCGGGGTCCCCCCTTATTTTATCCGCCCTGTGCCTAACCATGGGTATAAAGTAAGTACCCCCTCTCCCTACGGTCGAGTCTATTCTAACCTCTCCTTCTCTCCTTTCAGTCGAGTATAGTATCTTCTCCCCTCTCCTTATCAGTCGAGTCACTTCGTACCTCTCTCTAACAGTGATGAGTAGTAGTGAATAGTAGAGAGAGAAGAGGCATAAGGAAAATGGAAGGGCGGTACGCTCCGTGGAGCGGGGAAGGCAATTTTTTCCCCTATAGATCAACGGAGAAGTGGAGGACAGGCCCCTGTTAAGGAAAAAACATCCTTCTGTTAGTGACTTGGCTTAAGTTATTTAAGGCCGGCCAGACGGATTGCGCCTCTCTCGAAGCCAGCCTTTTATCCCAAAGCAAAAGAGAGAGCGTCTAGCGGTCTTATGAATCAATCAAACCAAAAAGAAGTTTTTGGACTATTCCCTAACAGGGTAAAATGTCCTTACATACGATATTACTTCTTACGTACTTTCTTTTTCTTTACTTACTTTATTACTTATGCAATTCTTGTTGGTCAACTGTCTCTTGATTTTCAATTCGCTGACCGCTGCCCCTTATCGCTGATGTGTGGTCTATTGCCTAAGAATGCCTAACCCCAATAAGCCAGCTTATCGAGGGAAGCTAGTCAGTCCGGTCTAATCATATAAAAAAAGTATTTGCCCAGTAGTGCTCAACAAGTAAATAAGAAGGTAGTCGAGGACTATCCTAAGTCTTACGCTTCATGATGGCATTTAGATGGCTCTGCTCTATAGCCAGAGTAGAGTAAGGGGGAAAGACTCAAGTACAGTGAAAAGAACATTGGAACTAGGGAATCCAGCTGCCATTTCGCTAGATACCAGAAAGATGGGGAGGAAAGTTCTATCCAGTTGTTGGCGCCGGCGCTAAAGCGAGGAAGGGGTGCGTCATCATTTAGTTAGCAACGGAAACTGGTGAAATTGACCTAAATACGCAGGTCTAAATAGAACACTAAAGGCTTATGCCTTCACGACGTAAGGAGCGAAAACAAAATACCCTTCGTCAGCCTTTCCATCGATAGAGACATCGCCCGACCAAATACAATGTCCCAAAACGATCTAGTCAGCCTGCAGGCAACTGCTATAGATGACGCGCCTACCATGACCAGTTCAAGAGGAAGGTCACAGTAAGGGGAGAGAACACCCGGACTGTCTACTCTTATGTGTGTGGCCATGGGCTTTCCCTTCATATCACAGCCGTAAAGTCTATAAGGATAAAGTATTGGCTAAGCACCTTTGGGCGGGCCCCCTCTTAGTTCAATTTCGCTCGAAAGAAATGGTAATCTGTCTTCCCTTCATTTTTAATTCACTTATCTTCTCTTCTTCTTCGATTCCTTTCCATTAATAAAGGAGGAAATACTAGATATAGACTAAATCGGAATGAATAAGATATGAATGGAACCTAAAAACAACCAACCACCTATAGGACTGCGATAACGTCCATCCCTATGGAAATTTTCTCGAACTCGGAGTAGCTCTTTATATATTTTAGATTATGTGGCATTGAGGTCATGGAGCTTTCTTTCTAAGACATCCACTTTGACCCGGGGAGGCAGAAGGTAATCACGAATTAGTGTGTTTTCCCGTTTCCCCCCATTCGATTCAAAATACGTCGCTTTAGATCAAGAATTCTATTGATTTCCTCATCGGAGACATTGCTCGCCCCTGGACCCTGTCGATACACAAAAAACCTATTCCTGATTACATATTTGACTGATTCCATATCAGGTTCCGCTGGCTGAATAGCCGGAAGCGGATTAGCAGCAGCAGCAAAACAAAAGACGGTTGAATCTTGGTAGTTGTGGTCGTGACAGGCACTCGGGCTGACAGCCATCTTAGTGAGGTAGTCTATTTCGTTGAAGTAGCGGGTCTCCCCCATCTGGTACTTCTCGTTCTAGTAAACGAAGGAACAATCTTTCTAGGAATAACCTTTTCTGTAGTTGGACTACCAGGATTATTCAATAGTAGTAGGTTCACCTCTAATACTAATAAGAAAAGGGCTTCCCCTTAGACCTTTAGACCTGACCAAGAGAAGTCACACCGGTAGCCCTCAGAAAGAAAGGTCCCTCGAGCTTTATTAGTAGTTACACGAGTGCTCAGATCAATACCGAAACACATATGGAGTGCCTGGCCTGGACCACAAAGAAAGAGCACAAGCAGGACTCCCTGCACCCGCGTGAGGGATGACTTTGAATCCATACCGAAGAGAATGGACGACTTGAAAAGGTCTCCATAGACAAAGAGACGATCTACACCGAAACAGAGAAAATACATTAGGAGCACTCATTCCTTGTACCCGGGGAACTTATGAATAAGGAAGGGGATCTACACCAGAAAAGGAGTTGACTCCCATATAGACACTTTCACTCACATTGCTTTAGGCAGTACTCTTCTTACTAAAGAAGAATACTTCCTTAAATAGGGAGCAAATCCGTCACTGGACGAGGAAGGAAAGGAAGATCTGTACAATAAAGTAGATTAGAAAGCGTTAACAAGACTATCAGACCAAGAACAGAACTGCTGGAGGAACAACTACCTAAGGCTTAAAATGACATAGAATAAGTGGAATCTCATGCAAACTGTGAGGGAGGTGGTTAACCGGTGCTTAGAGAACTACCTGGGATGCTTTACAAGCGATAGACCAAAATCAATTAAATATTCTAAATGAATCTAATCCCATCCCCTACGGACAAGGGTGAATACCCGTAAGTGAGTTCGCGCAGGAGTTTCTTGCTCTGATTCTGTAGCGGGAGTTTCCTTGTGTTGTGGAGTTGTGTGGTAAGCTTTTCGGCTTCCATCCACTGGCGACCTCAAAGCATTATTTTAAGCGCATTCCTTGTCCTTTAGCCTTATAATCGTAATCGGCCTGAAAAAGAAAGTAATAAAGAGTTCAGGGCTTAGAAGATGCAAAGCTTTCATCCGCATTCCGTCTGTGTTCTAAATAAAAGTCTTCCATTAGATAATAAAGCTCAGTTTCCATCTTCTTTTTCTTAAAGAATAGGAGCGAGACTTTCATAGTGAAGGGAGAGGCGAAGCCTAGTAACACAGCATCATGGTTTAGCCTAGCCCTTAGTTCACCGCTTTCACATGGCAGAACCCATCACAGCACAGGGAGTCTGGCGCCCCTATACACTCATATCTCGACTTGACAACCAAAATTGCTTCAAAATGTAAATTTGTAGATCGATGGTGGGGATGAGCCCATGTGTACGCCTAACCTTCGGCCACCCCTAAATGGCACTAATAAGCACACAAGACACATAGGTCTAGGGATGCCTGTTTGACTAGGCGCGATAGAATACTCAACCAAGCATTAAGCTCGATGGATTACTCCCGCACCAGATAGTTATCAGCCGCAAGGTTGCCGGCATGCCCCAATGATAAGGTACTCTCAAATCGAATATCTCGTGGCACCACATCTTTAGACAAAGGGCAGGTTTAGCTATAGCCCAGTCAACTGTTGGAGGCAAAGACAAATAAAAAACGGAAAAGCCGAGTACACTGCATCTCCAGTGAACCATCCTACTAAGGTTTCACGAAGTAAACACATACGTTTCACAGCTAGGGACCATGTTCAGTCCATGCCAATAAACAACAGGAGCTCGCGGTCTATCAGCACTTTAAGGGCTACACAATGGAGATCGGATCGGCCTCGTATGGAGGGCTCCCCGAAGACCTTTTCCTTTGGACCTAGCCTATCGATCAAAAATCCTACGCTAGCATGCCTACCGCACTACCGCCCCCCACTCTCTACTATTGGTGGCTAATGGGTCCCTTCTCTCGCGTATCCTGTCTTTTCGGATCGGCACCTGGCCTCCCATTTCTTATGAGACGGCAAACGAATAACTTATCTTTATCCGGGTATTGAATTGCGCGAAGAGTTTGAGGCCCGGTAAGGGGATAGCGGGTCAATGCCTTCTGCTCTTTCCGGTAAGTGAGTAGGGCCAGTCCCACACGATTAGCATAGATAAGACAAGTCAGGTAGGATTGGTCGGAGAAGGATGAAAAACCTTGTGTGAAGGAAAGGCTGTTTCAGTTGCTGTTTACGCGCTTCACTCACTAGGAGAAGAAGTCAGGAAAGTCCCTACTATACTTGTCTAAAAGACGAAAAGATGGATGAGCCACTCTCTCCATCCGACTCAGCTTAGCCTTTACCTGGGCACCTTGCCTTCTTTCCTTGCTTTGGTGCTAGCGTATATAAAGTAGTAGACCCCGGCTCCTTTTAGCTTTCTGTGGTATGGCTCTTATAACTCTTAGTAGCTGTTCTCTCCTTCCCTTTCCTTATTCCTTATCCTTAAGGAATTGGATATAGAACCGTTAGGAGTAGGAGCATTCGTTAACAGAGATGGATTGGCTTCGGTTGACCTTCTTACTATGGGAATGCTTGAAAAAGCTCTTATTCCAATAAGCTCGTGACTACTCTAAGAGGTAGCTGGGGACAAAAGGAATAAGTGCTCAAA